AGACTGAGAGCTGGCTTGGGCTGACAGCAGACTACCTGAGAGTTCAACAGACTGTGAGCTGGCTTGGGCTGGCTCTTGGATACCGGATTGAGAGCTGGCTTGGGCTGGCTCTTGGATGCCAGACTGGTCCACAGACTGAGAGCTGGCTTGGGGTGACAGCAGACTACCTGACAGTTCAACAGATTGTGAGCTGGCTTGGGCTGGCTCTTGGATGCCAGACTGGTCCACAGACTGAGAGCTGGCTTGGGCTGACAGCAGACTACCTGACAGTTCAACAGATTCTGAGCTGGCTTGGGCTGGTTGTTGGATGCCAGACTGGTCCACAGACTGAGAGATGGCTTGGGCTGATTGTAGGCCACTGGACTGGTCCACAGATTGCAATACAGCTTGTTCAGAGTTCTGGCTGCTGGCTTGAGATGACTGTTGGAGGCTAGGCTGAGCCACAAGTTGGTATCTTGCCTGTGCTAGCTGCACACCACTAGGCTGAACTGTGGAACCATCACGTGACTGCACTAGTTGCTGGCCACTCAGTAATGGCACAAGTCCATATCCAAATCTGGCTTGCCCTAACTGATACCTGGGTTGTGAAAACTCATTTCGCTGCTGCAAAGGTTTGACCAAAAAGGTAGAACTTGACATCTGGACTGGCCCGTTACCAGAAAATAACTTGGAAACAACTTGAAGTCTACTTCTCTGAGGCTTGAAGATGGGCTGCACTGCAGACTGGTAGCTGCCTTCCACTTGTTGGCCACTGGACTGGGAGCTGTTCTGCACTATTTGCTGGCTACTAGACACCACAGACTCATTACTAGACTGTATTACAGTTTGATAGTTGAGCGGTGTTGGCCCAGGTAGAGACTCAATGGGCATACTTGCACCCATTTCAGTGGTCACAGAACCAGAAACGAGACTGTCACTACCAGCTGAAGATATCAGAGATCCTTGAAGTTGACTACTAGCATCAGAGTCAGAGCCATTTTGTGGACTATAGCTTGCACTGCTATACACACCCTTAACTTGTGCAGCACTGTAAGTGTTACTCCTTGGTCTTAGAGGACTGATGGGATTTGATACATCAGCCCCATACCAGCTGTAGGAACTTCGTGGCTTCATATCCCGCATGGGGAAACCAGCCTCATGGTAAACAGGATAACCACTCCTGACAAAGCCACCAACTAGAAGAAAATAAAAAAGGAAAGAAAGAATCAGACACGTTAACAAATGCGAATTATAGAACTTGCCTGGATAAACCTTACCACTTCCAAAGTGGTCACAGACACAAAGACTGAGAAGTGCCAAGGAAAAACTGTAGACGAAAAAACAAAACAAAAATCAAAACATGTTAGATGAATGCCACTTGTTAACAAATACTACAATTTTTCATCATACCTTAAGAGTCGGCTAGTGGTACCCTCCATGGCCAAACAAAAATACAACAACTAACCACCTCAACAACACCAGTGAAAATTCATACAAAACATTCTTGACCACCAACACGTATTAGTGTTGCTTGACGGACTCTTTATAGTGCCAGCAACTGCCATTTCCCAATTATTTCTCTACAATCAGTTGTCATGGGAACATGTAATACTCAATTATTAAGTTCAGGTGTTGCAACTATCATGACAGCTGCCATTTCATTAAAGATAGAGTTGTTTTTTTATATTATGATTACTGGACAAAAAGACAGCACACAAAATACTTTTTGGGGATTAATTAAAATTATGTTTTTATTCATTGAGAATACATTTTAACATTTAAAGAAGCATTAGAATGCTCACTGTTTAAAATCTTAGCATTGATTTGGTCAAGCGGCCGTATATATTTTCATATCAAAATCTATTTTGTTCAATGATAACAGATGTTATAAATGTTTTTTTCTTTCAAATTTGGACTTATGGCTTTATGTTGTGTTAACCAATCAACAGGTTTGTTTGGAGTATCTTTAGGAGTTGCAAAACTCTTGCAATCTGCAATTCTCAAATGCGAAAATACAAATATCTTTTTGTCTTTATTGAAACTGTTTGAAAACTAGAGTACCCTGGTAATTTTCTTTCAGACTTGTCATGAATAAATACATGTCAACATAAAAATCTGGCAGGACTATTCTTGTTAGCTTTCCTGTGGTGAAAGCTGTGTTCAGGTGAGACCCCCATCAGGTTTCATTTATTTATTTTTTGTATTCAGCTGAATGGACAACTTTATTTTATAACAAAAAGACCAGGGCCCGTATTCATAAAGATTCTAAGAATCCTTTGAGATAACACTTAATTTAGCTTTAATTCTTTTACCTAGTAGTCTCAGTTTAAGAGTGATTTGGGACCGATCTGAGAGCAACTCCGAGTAAGGTAAAGACTAAAGAAAGTCTTAAGCCTCTTAAAGTCTTTGTCCGTGCTCCTAACAATTTTGACCTTAAAACATCTTTTAAGGGTTAATATGCTTTCTGACTTACATTCTTTTATTTTAAGAGTAAACGACCACATTTCTAAGAATTTTCTTTGAATTTTGTCACTAGGAGCTACACTTTTCATTAAGATTCTTTATGAATACAGACCCAGGTCTTAATAGGAAATAAATATAAACACAAAGGGCTCAACACTAAGGAGCTTATAAACATTTGAATAAATAATGTTAAATAAAGACACTTATGAGCTAATTACAATAGTCCAAATAAACACATTAGAACAAAGATACAAATTAAAGAATCAGATTTCAAGTATAGGCTGAAATTCATGGTAAAATACTTTCAGTATTCTAGTACAAAATACTATAGTAAAGACTAATGTACATATTTGAGCAGAGTTTTATGCTACTTTCACTTTAAGGCACAGATAACCATGAACTGGACATGAACTACTTCAGCATATTTAAGTATATTAATAAAATTTACCATGCTTTTGAAACATTCATAAGGGGCTTTTTCTTTTTGAGGTTGGAAGCCCTCCCTACTACAGCCACTGGTAGGCCCCCCTCCCCCCAAGAAGCCACCTACCTATGCCTCTGTTAAGACTGCCACCCATAATGTTAATGAATTGGGTCAGTTGGTCATTCATTGCCATTTGAACAGACAAACACATGAGCATTTACACTCTGGAAGTAATCTAGTTAAATGCATTCCACTACCTCTGGAATTTGTTGAAAGTGAATAAGCTAAACATTTTAGACACCTTTACACCAGTTTAAGCATGCACTTTTTTGATCTGATCAAGCAAAACTTCTCCAGGTGTAAAAGTAGTAGAGAACAAAGCAGATTGTTAAACAAAGGAAGTCATGCTAATGAAATACAAACAAAAGGAAGACTCCTAGTAGACACTTGAGGTCACAGGTTTGTTTATTTTTTCAAAAACAAAAGCAAACACTAAATGAAGAAAACAAGGCAGAGTATTCAGCTATGACTTCACTTGTTGCAACAACCTCAATATGCCTGGAGACAAATGCTTATGAGCAGTCTGAGAGTGCAGAGGTGCTGGATCTTGAAAGCCAGGTTGGACAGACTGCATCAGACTCAAAGCTTGAAGTGGTATTTTTCTGGGTTGCTCCACAGGTTTGGAACCAAGACTGGAAAGAGACATGTAAATTGACTGCTCTGGCTTAGGAGAGACCTTGAATCTCGACTGTTGCGACATAGACTGGTAGCTGGCTTGGGCTGATTGCTGACCACTGGGCTGGGACGCAGACTGGTACCTGGCTTGTCCTGATTGCAGACCACTGGGCTGGGACAGAGAATGGTAGCTGGCTTGGGCTGATTGCTGACCACTGGGCTGGGACACAGACTGGTACCTGGCTTGGGCTGACTGCAGACCGCTGGGCTGGGACACAGACTGGTAGCTGGCTTGTCCTGATTGCGGACCACTGGGCTGGGACACAGACTGGTACCTGGCTTGGCCTGATTGCAGACCGCTGGGTTGGGACACAGACTGGTACCTGGCTTGGCCTGATTGTAGACCGCTGGGCTGGGACACAGACTGGTACCTGGCTTGGCCTGATTGTAGACCGCTGGGCTGGGACACAGACTGGTACGTGGCTTGTCCTGATTGCAGACCGCTGAGCTGTTGCAATGACTGGTACCTGGCTTGGGCTGACTGCAGGCTGCTGGGCTGGGCCACTGACTGGTACCTGGATTGGCTTGATTGTAGATCGCTGGGCTGGGACACAGACTGGTAGCTGGCTTGGCCTGATTGCAGACCACTGGGCTGGGACACAGACTGGTACCTGGCTTGTCCTGATTGCGGACCACTGGGCTGGGACACAGACTGGTACCTGGCTTGGCCTGATTGCAGACCGCTGGGCTGGGACACAGACTGGTACCTGGCTTGGGCTGACTGCAGGCCACTGGGCTGGGACACAGACTGGTAGTTGGCTTGGCCTGATTGCGGACCACTGAGCTGGGACACAGACTGGTAGTTGGCTTGGCCTGATTGTAGACCGCTGGGCTGGGACACAGAGTGGTAGCTTGCTTGTCCTGATTGCGGACCACTGGGCTGGGACACAGACTGGTAGTTGGCTTGGCCTGATTGTAGACCGCTGGGCTGGGACACAGACTGGTAGCTGGCTTGGCCTGATTGAGGACCGCTGGGCTGGGACACAGACTGGTAGCTGGCTTGTCCTGATTGCGGACCACTGGGCTGGGACACAGACTGGTACCTGGCTTGGGCTGATTGAGGACCGCTGGGCTGGGACACAGAGTGGTAGCTTGCTTGTCCTGATTGCGGACCACTGAGCTGGGACACAGACTGGTAGTTGGCTTGGCCTGATTGTAGACCGCTGGGCTGGGACACAGACTGGTAGCTGGCTTGTCCTGATTGCGGACCACTGGGCTGGGACACAGACTGGTACCTGGCTTGGGCTGATTGAGGACCGCTGGGCTGGGACACAGACTGGTAACTGGCTTGTCCTAACTGCAGACTGCTGGGCCGGGACAAAGACTGGTAGCGGGCTTGTCCTAACTGCAGACTGCTGGGCCGGGACAAAGACTGGTAGCGGGCTTGTCCTAACTGCAGACTGCTGGGCCGGGACAAAGACTGGTAGTGGGCTTGTCCTAACTGCAGACTGCTGGGCCGGGACAAAGACTGGTAGTGGGCTTGTCCTGACTGCAGACCACTGGGGCCATTAACAGACTGGTAGCCAGTTTGTGTTGGTCTTTGGAAACCAAGCTGGGGTACAAACTGGTAGCTGGCTTGTGCTGACGGCAGGCCAGACTGTGAGCTGAATTGGGCTGGTTGTTGGTTGCCAGACTGGTCCACAGACTGTGAGCTGGCTTGGGCTGACAGCAGACTACCTGAGAGTTCAACAGATTGTGAGCTGGCTTGGGCTGGCTCTTGGATGCCAGACTGGTCCACAGACTGAGAGCTGGCTTGGGCTGACAGCAGACTACCTGAGAGTTCAACAGATTGTGAGCTGGCTTGGGCTGGCTCTTGGATGCCAGACTGGTCCACAGACTGAGAGCTGGCTTGGGCTGAAAGCAGACTACCTGACAGTTCAACAGATTGTGAGCTGGCTTGGGCTGGCTCTTGGATGCCAGACTGGTCCACAGACTGAGAGCTGGCTTGGGCTGAAAGCAGACTACCTGACAGTTCAACAGATTGTGAGCTGGCTTGGGCTGGCTCTTGGATGCCAGACTGGTCCACAGACTGAGAGCTGGCTTGGGGTGAAAGCAGACTACGTGACAGTTCAACAGATTGTGAGCTGGCTAGGGCTGGCTCTTGGATGCCAGACTGGTCCACAGACTGAGAGCTGGCTTGGGCTGACAGCAGACTACCTGACAGTTCAACAGATTGTGAGCTGGCTTGGGCTGGCTCTTGGATGCCAGACTGGTCCACAGACTGAGAGCTGGCTTGGGGTGAAAGCAGACTACCTGACAGTTCAACAGATTGTGAGCTGGCTTGGGCTGGCTCTTGGATGCCAGACTGGTCCACAGACTGAGAGATGGCTTGGGCTGATTGTAGGCGACTGGACTGGTCCACAGATTGCAATACAGCTTGTTCAGAGTTCTGGCTGCTGGCTTGAGATGACTGTTGGAGGCTAGGCTGAGCCACAAGTTGGTATCTTGCCTGTGCTAGCTGCACACCACTAGGCTGAACTGTGGAACCATCACGTGACTGCACTAATTGCTGGCCACTCAGTAATGGCACAAGTCCATATCCAAATGTGGCTTGCCCTAACTGATACCTGGGTTGTGAAAACTCATTTCGCTGCTGCAAAGGCTTGACCAAAAAGGTAGAACTTGACATTTGGACTGGCCCGTTACCAGAAAATAACTTGGAAACAACTTGAAGTCTACTTCTCTGAGGCTTGAAGATGGACTGCACTGCAGACTGGTAGCTGCCTTCCACTTGTTGCCCACTGGGCTGGGACACAGACTGGTAGCTGGCTTGTCCTGATTGCAGACGACTGGACTGGGACACAGACTGGTACCTGGCTTGGGCTGACTGCAGGCCACTGGGCTGGGACACAGACTGGTAGCGGGCTTGTACTGTCTGCTGACCACTGGGCCCGGACACAGACTGGTAGCTGGCTTGTCCTGATTGCAGACGACTGGACTGGGACACAGACTGGTACCTGGCTTGGGCTGACTGCAGGCCACTGGGCTGGGACACAGACTGGTAGCGGGCTTGTACTGTCTGCTGACCACTGGGCCCGGACAAAGACTGGTAGCGGGCTTGTCCTAACTGCAGACCGCTGGGCCGGGACGAAGACTGGTAGCGGGCTTGTCCTGACTGCAGACCACTGAGGCCATTAACAGACTGGTAGCCAGTTTGTGTTGGTCTTTGGAAACCAAGCTGGGGTACAAACTGGTAGCTGGCTTGTGCTGACGGCAGGCCAGACTGTGAGCTGAATTGGGCTGGTTGTTGGTTGCCAGACTGGTCCACAGATTGTGAGCTGGCCTGGGCTGACAGCAGACTACCTGACAGTTCAACAGATTGTGAGCTGGCTTGGGCTGGCTCTTGGATGCCAGACTGATCCACAGAGTGAGAGCTGGCTTGGGCTGGCTCTTGGATGCCAGACTGGTCCATAGACTGAGAGCTGGCTTGGGCTGACAGCAGACTACCTGAGAGTTCAACAGACTGTGAGCTGGCTTGGGCTGGCTCTTGGATACCGGATTGAGAGCTGGCTTGGGCTGGCTCTTGGATGCCAGACTGGTCCACAGACTGAGAGATGGCTTGGGCTGATTGTAGGCCACTGGACTGGTCCACAGATTGCAATACAGCTTGTTCAGAGTTCTGGCTGCTGGCTTGAGATGACTGTTGGAGGCTAGGCTGAGCCACAAGTTGGTATCTTGCCTGTGCTAGCTGCACACCACTAGGCTGAACTGTGGAACCATCACGTGACTGCACTAGTTGCTGGCCACTCAGTAATGGCACAAGTCCATATCCAAATCTGGCTTGCCCTAACTGATACCTGGGTTGTGAAAACTCATTTCGCTGCTGCAAAGGCTTGACCAAAAAGGTAGAACTTGACATCTGGACTGGCCCGTTACCAGAAAATAACTTGGAAACAACTTGAAGTCTACTTCTCTGAGGCTTGAAGATGGGCTGCACTGCAGACTGGTAGCTGCCTTCCACTTGTTGGCCACTGGACTGGGAGCTGTTCTGCACTATTTGCTGGCTACTAGACACCACAGACTCATTACTAGACTGTATTACAGTTTGATAGTTGAGCGGTGTTGGCCCAGGTAGAGACTCAATGGGCATACTTGCACCCATTTCAGTGGTCACAGAACCAGAAACGAGACTGTCACTACCAGCTGAAGATATCAGAGATCCTTGAAGTTGACTACTAGCATCAGAGTCAGAGCCATTTTGTGGACTATAGCTTGCACTGCTATACACACCCTTAACTTGTGCAGCACTGTAAGTGTTACTCCTTGGTCTTAGAGGACTGATGGGATTTGATACATCAGCCCCATACCAGCTGTAGGAACTTCGTGGCTTCATATCCCGCATGTGGAAACCAGCCTCATGGTAAACAGGATAACCACTCCTGACAAAGCCACCAACTAGAAGAAAACAAAAAAGGAAAGAAAGAATCAGACACGTTAACAAATGCGAATTATAGAACTTGCCTGGATAAACCTTACCACTTCCAAAGTGGTCACAGACACAAAGACTGAGAAGTGCCAAGGAAAAACTGTAGACGAAAAAACAAAACAAAAATCAAAACATGTTAGATGAATGCCACTTGTTAACAAATACTACAATTTTTCATCATACCTTAAGAGTCGGCTAGTGGTATCCTCCATGGCCAAACAAAAATACAACAACTAACCACCTCAACAACACCAGTGAAAATTCATACAAAACATTCTTGACCACCAACACATATTAGTGTTGCTTGACGGACTCTTTATAGTGCCAGCAACTGCCATTTCCCAATTATTTCTCTACAATCAGTTGTCATGGGAACATGTAATACTCAATTATTAAGTTCAGGTGTTGCAACTATCATGACAGCTGCCATTTCATTAAAGATAGTTGCCTTTTTATATTATGGTTTCTGGACAAAAGGACAACACAAAATACATTTTTCTGTATTTCTTAGCTCAACACTTGAGATTGCAATGGACTCGAAGAAGAAGCTCAACACTAAGGAGTAAATAATATTTAAATAAATATAACGTTAAATAAAGACACTTATGAGCAAATTACAATGGCACAAATGAACACATTAGAGCAAAAACACTAATGAAATAAACAGATATCAGGTATAGGCCTAACAATATTTAGGTACAAAATACTATAGTAAAGATTAATGTACATAATTTATACATTCAAGATAAAGAAGTTATTCAGCCATGCGCAGATTTGAGCAGAGTTTTAGGCTACTTTCACTTTAAGACTAAATGCATGGATCGGATTTTCTCCCAACTGTTTACGTTGATTAAAACTTTTTATTTTATCTCTGAGCTTAGGAGGATACTCACCAAAACTGCCATTTTGACATAATTTCGACTGCATTCATGCACTTAAGCATGACAAGACCCAAACGAGAGCTCAGTTCAGTAATTATAAATAGTGTTTGTGTACAAAATTGAGCTTCTTTCACATCTTGCAGATGAATGGTTTAAAATCCTTTGAATGTTTATAAAGACCACTTTCATGTTCTAATACTGCTTTCTAGTTTCTAAATAACAAGTGGAATTTTGAAACCAACTGGCTGAAAAGTATGATCTCCCTCAAAATCTGGAGTTGAATACATTTTGCAATCTGTCATTATTTGACTTGAAGCCAGGGTGTAACCTCTTGAGCCTCAATTTAAAAAAAGTTATCTGAGGTCATTAGAGCGCTGACATGTCAATGTCAAAAAAAAAAACGTCATAAATTTTTTTTTGGAACTTTGGAACGGAGTTAGGGTTGAAGAATGAAGTATATATAAAGTCAACTACTGTGTACTGTATACTAGCATTTGACTATCCTACAAAAAAACTTCAGTGATAAAGACTCCAGACTTGACTTAGATTCCAGCTTAAAGACCTCAGACTTGACTCGAACTCCAGATTGTGAACATCTCTGAACACATACACACACACACACACACACTCACTCACAGCTACCTCTCTGTGCAGACGACGCGTCCGGTCAGTGGCAGGCCTGTGAGGGTCTCGGTGGGATCAAGCTGCAGATGAGAGACCCAGAGAAAGCCTCCGTCTACTATAAAGACGCCCTACGACTGCTGTGCAAATGCCAGGTGAGATCTGACTGGATTTACCGGAATATAAGCGGCTTTTTAAATCTGAAATTCATTTTATATAATCCACATAACGTCAAGGAAGCAAAACATGCGCAAACGCACTCACTTTGATTTGTATGTTTATTTGTAAAGTGCATTTAGTTTCAGTTTCGGCTCGCCAAAGCTGCATTTTTTTTATCCAGAATACAGTAAAAACAGTAAAACAGTTGTTTTCTATGTGAATGTATTGTAAAGTGTAGTTTATTCCTGTGATCAAAGCTGAATTTTCAGTGTCACATGATCCTTCAGAAATCACTCTAATATTCCCATTATCTGTTCTGTATTAATAAAGCTGTGTTTGATCTGCAGGACGTGTCTAGTTCAGTGCAGGAGCGTCTGGTCAGTAAACTGAGCGAAGCCTTACAGCAGAAGCTGCTCCTACAACAGGTCAACCCATCCATCCATCCATCCATCCATCCATCCATCCATCCATCCATCTATCCATCTATCTATCTATCTGTCTGTCTGTCTGTCTGTCTGTCTGTCTGTCTGTCCTCTTGCAGCAAATATTACAAATGATATGCTCTTATTCTCTGAAAACTATTTTTTTTTAAATTAATATATGTGCTGCGGTGTGTTCATCTGCACATGGTCAGCTCATGATCCGGTGTTTTCAGCGTCTCTTTCACAGTAAACGCTGCTCGACATGAACTCCATCTGTGCCGACTTTAACCTGCGTTTCTGAACATGTTTTTTTATCATTGTTTGAGTCACACTGGTTTGGTTATTTTGTAAAAATAAATCTTCAATGTCCCTCTCAGAGAGGAGCGACGACACACAGAACCGTCCCGGAGCGACATCATAACCCACGGCTGCCACGGTAACGCCACGCAACACACAGTCTTTTAGAGACACAGAACATGCTCCTGATGTGTGTGTGTGTGTGTGTACAGGTCGACGGCTGTGCGGTCTGATGTTCAGCAGGGGAGGAGAGAGATGCAGAATGCAGAAAACACACCCAGTAAGAACTGAAAAATAAGAGAAACACACATTACTCTCCACAGGAACGACTTCAAGAGATGAAAGCGTGTTTTCTTTCGTTCTCTTCAGACGGGAAGAGCCACAACGGACACATAATGTCATCAGAGTCTCATCCTCGTCAAGAACAAGAGCGAGCAGATCATCACAGTGCACTACCAGAGGCCAACAGGTCAAACACACACACACACACACGTCTGCTGTTTAGAGCACATCTGGTGTAATCTGAGTCTTAAAACTGTTGCATGTGTTTGTCAGGAATCTGAATAACACGCATGATAACGCAGAGGTGCATCAGCAGAACTCCTCGTCAGAAACCTCCGGACACGGCGAGTCAGAACACACACACACACACACACACACACACTCACACACTATTCACTAATGCAGTACCTGACTGTTCCTCTACCTGTACAGGTGATGTGTCTGTGAAGCAGAGGCCAGTACGGGCGAACGGGTACGAGTCCGCTTGCAGTTCTCCTGCTCAAATCAAATGATGAATGATGTTGTCACATGATGACCTTTTAAAAACAGCTCAAATCACACACTGAACAGGCAAACCTGCTAAACTGAGCCGTGTTACAATTCATTTAATCTCGTCATTTTAACACACAGTATCTAGTGCTGGGAAACGATGCATCGCATCCAAAATAAAAGTTTGTGTTTACATAATATATGTGTGTGTACTGTGTATAATTACTTTGCATATATAAATACCAGTACACACACATGCATTTTATTTTTAAGAAAATATTTATTGCACTGTATATATATTTATACATTTATATATACATATAAATATTTTACATATAATTAACACATTTTTCTTAAATATATACAAGCATATGTGTGTGTTTATATAGATACAAAATAATTACACACAGCTCACACACATATATTATGTAAACACAAACTTTTATTTTGGATGCGATTAATCGGTGCCCCATTTTAACACGGTTCAAAGCAAGTCACACAACACTTTAGAATATATATATATATCGTACACCCTCATCATGATGAGTTTAGAGTTATATTGATGTAGAAATTGCATAAATTTCAATCAGAGTTTAATTCAGTGTGAATTCCTTCATATTAATACATTAATACATTCTGCTTGAGAGGATAAATCTTGTGCTGATCATTTTTGTAGTGAGAGATGATCATGTAATGATGTTAATGTTTCAGCGCACACCCATTGGCCAGGAGCGCTGTGACTCCGCCTCTCACTCAGCGCGACAGCGATCAGGCCACGCCCCTGACGAGGAGCCTGAGGTCCAGATTCTGCACAGTCATGTGACACAAACACGTCTCCATGGGAACGAGGTTTATGTTCTTGTGGAACATCCGACTCCAATCCCAAAGGATTATTTCAGGGATCGGGATGACAGTGAGACTGGACACTGGACACTGGACACCTGCAGTTCATGGGCAACACTTCTGATAAATGACGTGAACATGATCTAATGATCAGACGAGCACGAGAGACTTCGGCATCATAATCATGTTTATTTCATGCTGTATTTCTGCATTTTTGATCATCTCGTTGTAGCGTCTGATCAGTTTCGGCAGATATCATGAGTGAATCACTCAAGATAACAGAAGCACCTCATTTAGCACATGAGATCCAGGGGGCGGAGTTGGATCCAGATCTAAGGGGTGGAGATCCAGGGGGCGGAGTTGGATCCAGATCTAAGGGGTGGAGATCCAGGGGGCGGAGTTGGATCCAGATCTAAGGGGTGGAGATCCAGGGGGCGGAGTTGAATCCAGATCTAAGGGGTGGAGATCCAGGGGGCGGAGTTGAATCCAGATCTAAGGGGTGGAGATCCAGGGGGCGGAGTTGGATCCAGATCTAAGGGGTGGAGATCCAGGGGGCGGAGTTGAATCCAGATCTAAGGGGTGGAGATGGGTAGGATTAGGGGTGGGGTTAGGGATCAGGGGGCGGAGAAGGGCAGGTTTAGGGGTGGGGTTAGGGATCAGGGGGTGGATAAGGGTAGGATTAGGGGTGGGGTTAGGGATCAGGGGGTGGAGAAGGGTAGGATTAGGGGTGGGGTTAGGGATCAGGGGGCGGAGATGGGCAGGTTTAGGGGTGGGGTTAGGGATCAGGAGACAAAGCACTACTCCGAGACCATCTCCGAGACAAAGCACTACTGTACTGATAATAGCTAAATAAATTTTTATATCAGAACTCTAGTTATCGTACACAATATTTTCTCCTTTGTACAATTTTTTGGAGCTGCAACTTGTAGTAAAGAGGAAGCGATGATCAAGACGTAGTCCAAGAAAGACTATATTGTTAACTGAAGTTGGGCAGTCAAGGTTTTTACACTTTAAATCATAAAAAAAGTCCCCTTGTAGTAAAAAAAAAATTATTTGATCACCAAAATGACATATTCAAACGTTTTTTATTCCTAAAAAAAGTTATTCATGCCTTAAAATATCTTGAATGTATCTCGACACATTTGCCTCATTTAGTATACGTAGTTCTATGAATATGCAAATGAGCCCCGCCTCCACTCACTCACTCAGCTCAGAGATCCACCGGTTGTTGATCACGCGTTGATCTGATTGGTTACAAGGTGGTTTGTGACGTCAGAAACACCAGCGATTTCAAAGCGTGTTTTTGAGACTGTCTTTGGTTCACTGCAGTTTTAAGGAGGAAATACTCAGCAATGCTGTCCACTTATCAACGCACACACGGTGTGTGTTAAAGCGGATTAAACACACCACATACACACATAAACAACATTAAACGCTGATTTACACCACAGGGGGAGTTTAATAACAGTGGTTGGTTTCTCTCACAGCGCTGAATGAGGGAATAATATGAAAGTGACTACTGTGCACAGCCTAGAAATGTCATTTCATAACTGACTAGAAAAGCGTGGGCCCGTAGAAGCTTATTTCCGCCATAGAATAAGTTTTTAAAAAAAGGTAATTGTGACTTTTTATCTCACAATTTTGAGTTTTATAACAGGCATTTCTGACTTTATAACACGCAATTGCAACTTTATATCTAACAATTCTGACTTTATTGGGAGATATAAGTCAAGAAAGTCAAGTCGAAGTCTGAGAAATAAAGTCAGAATTGCGAGATGTAAAAACTGTGTAGCAAAAAGAGTCGCAATTATCTTTTCAAATGTTTTATTCTGTGGCGGGAAGCTTCCCCAGATTCCTCAGCTGTCAGTGGCGTTTATGTGTGATGTTCAGCATCTGACACAACGAGCCGCATATATATTCAGATGCATTCTCTAAGACCTTTCTGGAAATATGGCCGCAAAGGTGAATAAAATAATGTATTAATCAATAACCCCCCCCCCCTCTCTCTCTCTCTTTCTCTCTCATTCTACATTCAGTCTGTTCTCAGCGCTGCTCTCTTTAGTACGCCAGTATTCTCCTTCTCCTCTTCATCATGTGTTGTGCTTTACCTAAACTCAGGTCTGGATTAGAGACATGATGATGGGACCCGGACTGAGCAGATCCCGATCATCATCATCATCATCATCATCATGAAACCTGGATCCTCAGTAACTGACAGGAGAAGGATCAGTGCGATGGAGAGCGTGAGTCCGCTGGAGAATCATTATCTGCATTATATAGATAAAAACACAGAGGTGAGTCACAGTTTCATTTCACCAGCAGATTCAGACTGACTAACTGAGATTAATTAACTGAAATATGATATCGTATGTTTCCTCAGGCTGCCGGTATGATGTTTCGTGTGTTTATTTAGCCTGGTAACACTAGAGTAAAGCTGATTATTCTTTAAAAGCCTTAAAGTCCTGCTGTAGTCGATCATTTTATCCCTTAAAAATCATGTTTGATAAAGAAAAAGTACGTATTTCAAGTTTTTTTCCTTGAAAAAAATTGTTCATGCTTTAAAATAACTTGAATGTAACTCGACACCCTTGCCTCATTTAGTATGCGCGGTTCTATGAATATGCAAATGAGCCCCGCCTCCACTCACTCCCTCACTCAGAGATCCACTGGTTGGCGATCACACGTTGATCTGATTGGTTACAAGGTGGTTTGTGACGTCAGAAACACCAGCGATTTCAAAGCGTGTGTTTGAGACTGTCTTTGGTTCACTGGAGTTTTAAAGGGATACTCCACTTTTTTTTTGGAAATAGGCTCATTTTACAACTCCCTCAGGGGTTTGCATTTGGGTTTTACCGTTTTCGAATCTGTCTGGTTACTGATATTCTTCTAAATTTTAGAAAATCAGCTGAATAGATTCAAAAACGGTTGTTAGATTGAATAGAAACAATCTGAATAGATTGAATAAAAAACTCAACTGTTTAACTCTGGGGGAGTTGTAAAATGAGCCTATTTTCAAAAAAAGTGGAGTATCCCTTTAAGAAGGAAATACTCAGCAATGCTGTCCACTTATCAACGCACACACGGTTTAAGCGTGTTAAAAACACCACATACACACATAAACAACGCTGGGGGACTGTTGAACATGTTATGTTGAAACGAACATGAATATTGTATTAATATGATAATGTTCATGCAGAAGAAGCACTATATAGTAAATATTATAATAGTCTGTACAGTTCAATAAATTATAAATCTGGCATGAAGATCTACTACAATTAGTTTAGTTTACAGTAGAGTCCGAAAGTCTGAAAATGATCCTATTTTGCATGTTATTTGCATATTACAAATTGAATTTTAAAGCATAAAAAATGAGAATCCACATTTTAACATCAAATAACAATAACATCCTATTTATTTATTGTTAATTATATTTTAAAGCATAAACAGTTCGAGTGAATGTGAATGTGTGTCTGTTTTGGGTGAAGTTGATGAACTGAAAAAATCAAAAAGGTGTCTTTTTTACTTTACTTCACAACATTTCTTAGTTTCATTCGTGCGTTTGGCAGACGCTCTCCTCCAAAGCGAGTGGCGTTGCATTGGAAGCAGACGTGGACTCCCAGCATCGATCTCCGTCAGAATCAGGGAACGTTTGATCCTCATATTGAAGCATCAAACTCCTTGAAACTGTTCAGAGTTCTGCTTCGCCGTCCGTTCGATGGGTTTGCATCACACACACACACACACACACAAACGCGACTGATTCTCTCAGCACACCTTGTTCTTTCTCAGCGTTTGTGTGAACCGAATTCCTGGAGCTCAGGAGCTCTCCCGGGTCGCAGGGCCTGTTGTTCAGTTCTTAAGGCTCAGATTATGGCTTTGGCTGAATATCTGCGCTGGTTTCTCAGCACTCAGCAGGAGCTCTTGCGTTGTGTTTAACGCTGGTTCAGAGTAACACACACACACACACACACACAGGACAGCGTTTCTCTGCAATCAGCTCTGATCCGAGACTGAATTTCACCTGCTGCATTGACCATTAAAACTCATTATTTCACCTAAACTACACATTGAAGTGTTTTTTCCTTGAAAAAAAAGTAAAATATCTTCAATGTAACTCGACACCCTCGCCTCATTTAGTATGCGCGGTTCTATGAATATGCAGATGAGCCCCACCTCCACTCTTTGGCGATCACTCGTTGATCTGATTGGTTACAAGGTGGTTTGTGACATCAGAAACACCAGCGATTTCAAAGTGTGTTTTTGAGACTGTCTTTGGTTCACTGGAGTTTTAAAGAGGAAATACTCAGCAATGCTGTCCACTTATCAACGCACACACGGTGTGTGTTAAAGCGGATTAAACACACCACACACACAAACAACATACTTTAAACTCCGCCCCTTTGTCACAATCCACTGAAAGCTTGTATTCAGACCCGCCTCCACTTTTGAGAGCCACGCCCACATCTCAACATCCAATCACCAACCGCCCCCGCCCTTTTCGCTAATTCCTTACACTCGGGTATACGTCACAATACAGTCTGCCACGACTTGCGTTTCATCACAAATACTATGATGGTTTATTTAAATCACAAACTATGAGCAATAACATTGATGCTTAACATCATGAAATCTGGTACATATTATATATAATTACTACTAATATTTTATCTATATTATGTTATCATTGCTTACTACAGATGAGCGATCAGGTAATAGGAGCTGGTGTGAGTGGAGGCGGGGCTCATTTGCATATTCATTCTGTTCATCTTGTGTTCAAGCTATTTTAAGGCATGAAGACATTATTTTCACAGGTAAATAAATGTTTTGATTATCACACAAAGTTTTTTTAAGGGATACATTTATTGACCTCAGGGTATTGGATGAGTATATACTATATCAGGGATGGGCAACGTCGGTCCTGGAGACAGTTTCGCTCCAACCCTGAAAAAAAACTTCCTAGCAATACTGAAGACCTTGATTAGCTTGTTTGATTAGGGTTGAAGCTAAACTCTGTAAGACAGTGGCCCACCAGGACTGAAGATGTCCATCCCTGTACTATATTATAATTAGGGTTGGGTATCGTTTGAATTTGAACGATTCTGATTCCGATTCCTTGTTTTGATTCCGGTTCCTAACGATTCTCGATTCCGATTCTTTTAAGAGGCAGGGTCAAAAAAGTTTAGCTAACCTTGCTAACCAACGGCCTTTCTGAAGGAAATAATCCTTCGGTAAAAATACTCCTTTTGTCACAAATTTTGCATTTTGCCGAGATTTCGTTATTTTTAGAAAAGCGAAGCCACACTTTGGATCGTCGACGTAAGCTACTCATGTTCGACTCGCGCGGTTATGCCAACACTTCCGGTAGACGCTTCTTCGTTGATGTTGTTCAGCGGTTTCTTCTTCCGCTCGGCGGACTGTGAATATCGAAACTAGGAATCGAAATTTTAACTTTTGAACGATTCCGGGAAAAACGAAAAGTCAGTCTCGGTTCCAATCGATACTCGATTCTCGATACCCAACCCTAATTATAATCAATGCATTTTTCGAGATCTAATCAGTGTATTGAGTGCAGTCTAACTCGTTTTGTGGTCGGGTGAGTGTGTGTGTGTGATGGGTAGGTTTAGTGTACAATATAAAAACCATTACGCCTCTGGAATGTCCTCAGAAGTACAGCAAAACAAACGTGTGTGTGTGAGAGAGAGTTAGTGAGTGTGTGTATTATAATCAGTGTATTGAGTGCAGTTTGACCTCATGCAGATGTTGTTTTCCTCAGGAGTTGGTCAGCGTGTGATGATGATGATGTCCGGTAACTTGTCTAACGCGTCTCAGCTGGCCTGGACTCCTCCCTCTTTCACTCCCGCGGCTCAGGCTCGGGTAGCGGCGACCATGATCCTCTTCATCTTCGCCGCGCTCAGTAACCTAGCGCTCTTCATCAGTGTGTGTCGCGGCCGGCGTCTGGCGTCTCACCTTCGACCCCTCATCCTCAGCCTGGCGGCGGCCGACCTCTTGATGACCTTCGTGGTGATGCCGCTGGACGTGGTGTGGAACGTGACGGTGCAGTGGCTCGCGGGCGACGGCGTGTGTAAGGTCATGTGTTTCCTGAAGCTGTTCGCCATGCAAACCTCGGCGTTCGTGCTCGTGGTCATCAGTGTGGACCGACACCAGGCCATCCTGCGCCCGCTCGACTCGCTCGACGCGCACCACAGGAACAGGAGGATGCTAGTGTCGGCCTGGAGCCTCAGCGCGCTGATCGCATCACCACAGGTCTCACACACACACACACACATCTAACACTCACTAACTCTCACACACACTCACTCCCTCTTCCTCTTGCAGCTGTTCATCTTCAGGACGGTGAGAGCAGAGAGCGAGGACTTCACTCAGTGTGTGACACACGGCAGTTTCCGGGAGCGCTGGCAGGAGACGGCCTACAACATGTTCCACTTCGTCACACTGTACGTGATTCCCCTGCTGGTCATGAGCTGCTGCTACACCTGCATCCTCATCGAGATCAACCGGCAGCTGCACAAGAGCCAAGGTACGGAGACTCGCTCCATCGATCCATCCGTCCTCAGGCCCCGCCCACACTACTGCGTTTTCGAGACCTTTTGCTACGTTTGCACCTCCCGTCCAGACTAAAACGGGAAAAACGAAGACCTAAAACGTAGAAATTTAGAAACGCTGTTTTGCGTTTTGAATCTCCGGAGGGCGTTTTAGTGAAGACGGGACGAAACGGAGGAGTTCAGAAACGCTGACGCTCGGCTCTATGATTGGGTGTCATCCTTCCCTGATTCGTCAATCACTGTTTACACCGGCACGCGCATGCCCAGTGTTGGTGAATGGTCACGTGATGCGCGATTTCAGTCGTTTTAATGTGGAAGGAGATCATTTCTAATACGCAGATAAAACGCTGGTGTGGACGGAGATCGTATTCGTTATAATTCTCCGTTTTTAAACGAAAATGCAGTAGTGTGGGCGGGGCCTCAGTCAGTCAGTCCATCAATCAATCAGTCCATCCGTCAGTCAGTCAGTCAGTCAATCGATCAATCAGTCCGTCAATCAATCAGTCCGTCAGTCAATCAGTCCGTCAATCAATCAGTCCGTCAATCAATCAGTCCGTCCGTCAGTCAGTCAGTCAGTCAGTCAATCGATCAATCAGTCCATCCGTCAGTCAGTCAGTCAGTCAGTCAGTCAATCAATCGATCAATCAGTCCGTCAATCAATCAGTCCATCCGTCAGTCAGTCAGTCAGTCAATCGATCAATCAGTCCATCCGTCAGTCAGTCAGTCAATCAATCGATCAATCAGTCCGTCAATCAATCAGTCCATCCGTCAGTCAGTCAATCAATCGATCTATCAGTCCGTCAATCAATCAGTCCGTCCGTCAATCAGTCAATCGATCAATCAGTCCATCATAATCAATCATGATTTTCTTCTGATGAGTCTCTCACATGTGACTCAGTGACTCTGAGGTGCTGGAAAAACAGTTCAAGAGTTCAGCTCATCATCATGAAGACAGGAATACATTAGTAATACCTATAATGCCCCTGTCAGGTTTAGCGGCTCCATAAAGCGGTCACATGACTACAGTAGTGGATTACGGTAATATCAGCACAGCTGCTGCTTTCCTCCCTCTGAAGCCCGAGAGCTTCGCTCACTTGATTCCTACCAAGGGCACCAACAAGGTCAGGCATTTATGAGGAGTTCAGAGACGGGTGAAGACTGAAGGTTCATGCATTCTCTGGGAATCGAACCCTTGACCTCTGTAACTCTAGCCCTCAATGCCTCATTGTCACAAGTAAAGTCTCTCCCCTCTGCTCTCTGATGTGTGTGTGTGTGTGTGTGTCCTCAGCGGGCGAGTCTCTCCGGCGCAGCGGCACAGACATGATCCCGAAGGCCAGGATGAAGACGCTGAAGATGACGGTGATCATCGTGGTGTCGTTCGTGGTGTGCTGGACGCCCTACTACCTGCTGGGCATCTGGTACTGGTTCCAGCCGGAGATGCTGACGGTCACGCCCGAGGCCATCCATCACCTGCTCTTCGTGTTCGGGAACCTGAACACATGCTGCGACCCGGTGATCTACGGGCTGTACACACCCTCCTTCCGTGCAGACCTCGCCCGCTGCTGCCGCCGCACACACACACACTCGCCACGCTCTCTGGAGCACCGGCACGAGGCCGACCCGCACAAGCCCACGTAACTACATCTTGAAAATCAAGTTGTGCTGGTCTTTTCTTCTCTATTTCTTCTCAATGTGGGCGGGGCTTGATTTTGTCTGTTGGGAATCCGATTGGATGGTTGTGGTTTTCCCTAGAGACAGAGCACATTTAGGCCACGCCAACCAACCGTCTCCATTGACTCTGTATTGTGAGGCTGCCTCCTCGTCATTCTGACTCACCCACATCACTACATCTTCCTGCTTGAAAGGGGAGTTGCGCTGGCCTCTTCTTCTCCACTGTATCCTATATCCGAGGGAAAGGCTTTTGGAACAAGAACAAATGTTGACGGGGCTTGATTTTGTCTGCTTTTGCAGGGAGTTTGATTGACAGGCGATCTGACCAATCAAAATCCGCCATCTGCCAAATCCGCCAATTTTTGTCCGACAAAGCAGTCAGGAGAGTTAGTAGATTACGGTTGTGGACTTGAACTTGGGAAACGGTGTGTACTACTGACCTCTTTCCACGGTTGAAACAACATTCTCTGATGTTTATTTGATGCTGTAAGTGAACTAGAAGAGATGATCGGTTCACGAGGCGCTACAGCGATCTGTCACGACACATTAAAGAGCATCAAAACGGTATTTATTATTATTTTAAAACATTTTTTTTAATGAATAAAATAAAAAAATGTAGACCTTGTTTCATATCAAAAGTGCCTGGTCAGTGTTTGAGAGCGCAGTGGCTTGTCGGACATAGCAACAGTAACTAAAGGAGGCGGGCCTTTGGTCAATTGATCACAGACTGTAAATATGGGCGTAGTGTGTGTGACGTCTGCCCAAACTGGCTTAACAACGACTCTAACGACTGCGAGGGAGTGTGTTTATCAGAACGCTCTCGGACTCGAGAGCTGTGCAGAAAAGAGCTCAGAGCAGATTTGCAGTTTTAGAATAACTTCACAGCGGGGGATTGTTATTAAAGAGTCAGCTGGACGTGCTGAAACGTGTCACACACCTTCAGACTGTTGATGTGTGTGTGTGTTTGCATACAGTGTGACTGTTGACTGCGCAGCTCGCTCAGTCCCAGAGACGCCCTCACACTCGCATCCTCAGGGTTTCGTCTCGTTTCCAGCTCACATATCCAAACACTCCTAAATCAATGTACATTTCCTGGAGAACAAGCAAGATCATTTGATAAGAAACTGATCAAAATTCTATAATTAATTTATGCTAAAAACAAGAACACATCTGTCATTGGTATCAGGAAAATAAACACGATTCAAAGGGAAAACAAGTCGTTTTTTGTTTTTTCAGGTAGATTATTTCTCCAAAAGCAAGACTTCTTAACCTGTCATTGTGCTTGATCTGTTAATGTGTCTTGATCTAAATGCTCTGAGTCTGCAGTTTTATCATTGCACATTTCCATGTGGAGGGTTGTGAAGTTGACTCTGACCAATGGATGTTGTGATGATGATCAGTCAGCCAATCAGATCTGGTGACCCTAAAATAACATGTGATGGTGAATCTCTGTTTGTTTATAAGAGTACGGGAGGGACGGGGGGTTTGAATCATGTTCAAGGTAGTGTATAGACCATTTCACAAGATGTAAACAACACTGGTCCAGAAGCACTTCCTGTTTCAGTTTGTAGCTGTTTTCTTTATTTCACATGTTGCCAGTTAACAAAACAAATCAATTGACACTGAACCACGTTTTACAACTTGCTTTATTTTTCCTCTATTAAATCAATCAATTGTTTAAATGTTCTTTAAGATCTTCAATGCTTTAAACTGAGTAGTTCAACAAGTCACAGGTGATAATTTATCACTCAACCACACTACTCAAATTCCCCACACGGGGTCACTGTAATGCTTTAACCAAGGAAAAGAATATACACTCAAAATGAATAATTAACAAAAAAATATCTTAACAGATAATTTAGTAAAGTGTCAATTTCTCAATGTCAAATATTTACGAATGTTAGGGCACACTTTCAGGGTGAAACAATACACTTTCAAAGCAAACACAAACACGGTAGTGGCACCCTACACAAACACAAAAGCCCTGTTAGCATTTTCATCATGTGCTTTCAAACACCATGTCACCAGAATCAAATATAACATATACAGGATATTATACACGTTATTCACATTTCTTATGCACTTTACATTGAAAATTGACTTACCGAACTCTTTTATAGAGATTTCAAAATGCAGTCACGTGCGATCAAACATCTTCGATCATCTCGAAATAGAGCATCAATTAAATCAAGGATGATACTCGACACACGGATGGATTAATCTCATGCACTGCTGTTTTCCGTTTCTCTCTGCATTGCGCGCTATTAACACGTCATCATCAGGGGCTCGCTTTTCTTAAAGGGGAAGTACTTTTTTACAAGTTCAAACACCACCCGGCTGAGCTTACCACAGTCGGCATAACCAGCACACCTCCTGGCAAAGCTAAGTGTGCTGGCTCTAACAGCCACTGGCTCTCATCTTTCACATTCACCGACCACCCTTTTGCCATTACTGTTGATATGGAGCCCGCTGGGACATGCACCATACGTCTCCCTGCTAGCCGGGCCACACGACTCTTAGGAACATCACAGGTCTGTGTGTGCTGGAACGCGTTCCTCCAATCAGTCTCTAACCCCCCTTCAAATGGAGCCTCAAATTCAGATTGCACTATTTGCCGGCACTTACTAATGATGTTCATCCCCACAATACAGGAAACAGCTTTTGAGGAGGGCGGAGGATCCTTTACTACTAAGAAGCCGCAATTTGGAATTTTCCTCCCCATCGTCTCTACCTCTAACTCGAGATATCCTAAGTACGGGATGTCCAGCCCGTTTGCTGCAGTCAGCTTGAGCCATCCAGCAGTTGAAAGCATGTCTTCATCATCACCCCCCAAAGGTTGTCGAAAGAAACTTTCAGATATCGTACTCACTTGGCTGCCTGTGTCCAGGAGACAGGATACTTCTACGCCAAGAACCTTAATATCCACTTGAGGACATGTCCCCACTGCCCGCTTCAACAGTTCTTCTTGACTTGAGTCTACAGGTTGGCCCTGGATTGCTCGACTCACAGCAACCCGGGCGTCACATTTCCCGACTCAATGGAACGGGATGCAGGTCTCTTAGCGTTTCGTTTCTGGGGACAATTTCTCGCAATATGCCCGGCTTCTTGACATTTCAGGCATATGGGCTTACCATCTTCAGTGAATCGTAACTGGGCTCGAGTGTTATTCCGTAGGCCCCCAGCCCCCTGTTGTTGTGTCATCAAGTTATTAACTGCCTGGGTTAGCTCAAGGATCTGCCTGCCCTGTTGAGTTACTACATCCATTACTTTGGATAAAGTGACTGGGTTTTGGCCCGTGGCTTTTACTTCTGCACAGTGTGCACTCTCACTGTAGGAGCCATATGTAGCACTTCGACTTTTAGGGGTCCGAACCCTCCCAGACTGCTCCTCCCAGCCCCATAGATAAGCTTCCTCCCTCACTTCCACCATAGAAGACTCAGGCTTGTCTCTTACATACCGCCGAAGTTCCCGTCTGAGGGTATGGTCTCGGATGCCCTCTACAAACTGGTCTCTTAACATCGTCTTTTCATCTCCCACAGCCTCTGGTGTACGCTTAGTAATTTGACTGAGAGCTTGAGCTAGTGCATGAGAGAAATCACGAACATCCTCCCCCTCTTTCTGCTTACGACTATAAAAGTCCTGGAGGAGTTGGGCACTGCTGCGCCTATCAGTAAAAGCCTCTCTAAGGTAAGTAAGTATATCCGTGGATATATCGGTGTCTACATTGCTTCGCAATCGAACCTCTTCTAATGCAGCACCTCGCAGCAAAGACATAACAAAATCACACTCATCATTTGGTGTCATGTTTCTGGCTCTTAAAGCACGCTCAACCTCATCTATAAACTCATCTACTGTTCTCCCATCTTTTTCAATGTCCCCTGTGAATGGGCTGATGTGACGTTCTCGGGGTACATACACATAAGTCTTATTACACCCCCCTTTTAAAGACTCAAGTGTGGCCATTGCTTCATCGTGCTTTTGACTCAGTTCTCTTAACTTCAGACGAATGTCATCCTCTTCCCCCTCCGAATAGTCAGACATGTTGCAAGTCAAAGTCTTGAGTGTGGCAACTGAAAGGGACAATCCGTGCCTACTTCAGATAGGAAACGCACTTCACCACTCCGTCGGCTCTGTCACGTCCTGGCCCAAACCAACGACCGTCTCTATTCTGCGTCGAACACTCCGTCCAGTGACCGCAAACTCCTTCCACGCCAGAGGCTTCTCTTCACCACTACCGTGTTTGCTCACCCGTGTGCCACTAACATTTAACTGACACTGGCAATATAGATTTATAAAAGGACCCCACTCCTGGTACCAAATTTTGTTGCCAGTTAACAAAACAAATCAATTGACACTGAACCACGTTTTACAACTTGCTTTATTTTTCCTCTATTAAATCAATCAATTGTTTAAATGTTCTTTAAGATCTTCAATGCTTTAAACTGAGTAGTTCAACAAGTCACAGGTGATAATTTATCACTCAACCACACTACTCAAATTCCCCACACGGGGTCACTGTAATGCTTTAACCAAGGAAAAGAATATACACTCAAAATGAATAATTAACAAAAAAATATCTTAACAGATAATTTAGTAAAGTGTCAATTTCTCAATGTCAAATATTTACGAATGTTAGGGCACACTTTCAGGGTGAAACAATACACTTTCAAAGCAAACACAAACACGGTAGTGGCACCCTACACAAACACAAAAGCCCTGTTAGCATTTTCATCATGTGCTTTCAAACACCATGTCACCAGAATCAAATATAACATATACAGGATATTATACACGTTATTCACATTTCTTATGCACTTTACATTGAAAATTGACTTACCGAACTCTTTTATAGAGATTTCAAAATGCAGTCACGTGCGATCAAACATCTTCGATCATCTCGAAATAGAGCATCAATTAAATCAAGGATGATACTCGACACACGGATGGATTAATCTCATGCACTGCTGTTTTCCGTTTCTCTCTGCATTGCGCGCTATTAACACGTCATCATCAGGGGCTCGCTTTTCTTAAAGGGGAAGTACTTTTTTACAAGTTCAAACACCACCCGGCTACACACATGTAAAGAAAACATCTTAAAGATGTTTGTTTAACTTTTTGATTCAGTTTTAAATGTTCTGTTGGTTGTTTTTTATCCCAGCTTTTATGTAGTGTTAAAAAACTGAAACAGGAAGTGCTTCTGGACCAGTGTTGTTTACTTCTTGTGAAATGGTCTATATGGAGAAGAAGAAAGGTCCCAGAACTGAACCCTGAGGAACTCCATTTCCCAGCTGATGAGATTGGATGCCTCGCCTCCACAATCAACCTTGAAGGATTTCAATTAAACAAACATCAATAAAAGACAGTGTATACAATGAGAATGAGTTGTTGTTGTATTACAGAAATTAGGATCATGTGCATAATTTTCATGTATACTAAATATAATTATCTTTTTTGTTTGATTCTGGGTAAAAACATGAAATGAACGTTCCTGAGAGACTCAATATCTGCTAAAGAGATCCTCATTAATGACAGCGAGTGAAGCAGGATTTCATAACTAGACATTCTCTTCATTGTGGTCATTTTATCCCTTACAACACTTTTAAAATGTGGAAACAAGGGAGATTAGAGGGAATTTTCAATGAATTATGATTTTGTTTTTGTCCGTTTCATACACAAAGTTAGAAAAATGTTTAGAATTTAGAATATAAAGCTTAGAATATAAATATGAGTTGAAGAGAATTGTGGTTTATATTTACTTCTGGTTCAATTGTCTATTAGAAATAGAAGGTCTTGTGCATCTTGATTGTTGGATACATCATAGAGCAAGGAGCAATAGTGCAAAAAATAAATCGCATGCGCTTCTGCACAGAAATAATGAAACATATGACACGTAACAGTTCTACTTAACGCTGTTTTATTTGGCAAAGAGGTTCATTACAACCGGCTGAAGGAAGAGAAACAGGACAGACGTCAGCCGAGAAATTCACGATGACTTCTGTGCCGTACAGACTCAGATCTGACGGGTTTTCCAACACGATCTCGTGAAAGTGCGTATCTATACCATTAGTTTCACTTCTTGTGCTATTTACACGCCATAAATATCTTTTGCGTGCGTACGCACTGTAAACCCCTGGGTGGGATTAGGGGTGTATGTGTTGCGTAGGCTACTGTATCATACACGCGAACACTGTTTTGGCGTATAAATGGCACGAGAAATTAAATTCGTGGTATAGACACAGTCACAACAGGTTAAAGCTACAGGAGCGTTCGGTTCCGAAGAGTTAAAGCATCACTTCTCTCATTGGTACAAGCATTCAAAATCAGCATCTACTCGACTAAACAACTTATTATCCTAAACCTTAGACATGTTGAGCATCCATCACATACAAACATTTCAACATCCAGAATATAGACGAGTTCATAAAGCAGCAAACAGAGATCGACCCGCGACATTTCAGAGTCTGAGGCCTTTTCTTCAACAATAACGCTTTAATATGGACAGTCGGAAACTCTTTCACGGTCGGCAGGGAATATAATTAGCGAATTGCGACATATATCACTATCGATATCACAATTCTGACTTTTTTTCTTGCAATTTGGAGTTTATAATTCACAAGTATAAAATATATATTCAGAATGAGTCGCAATTCGCTTTTTTATTCCATGGCAAAACGAGCTTCCGTAAAAAAAATCACATCTGGAATCACTAAATGTATTTTCACGCTGGAGATCCATACACACATTTGTCATTTTTCTTTGCAATCAACAATCTACTCGCTTTTAACTCTCAAATTGCTAACATTTTCTTTTAAATTCTACAGACAGAGAGAAGAAAAAATACTTAATCAAAAGAACAGCGACAATATGAATATAAGAGAATAACATTAAAAAACAATCGTACATCTATTTTGGCAATATTTCCCAAATCAAGCAGAAAAAGAACTTTTCATCGTGGGAAAATGAATCAAAGGAAAGTTCTACAAGAGAACAGAAGTTTCTCCACTTGTGTCCGTCTTAAATTTGGCCTCGGTTTCTAATCTTGTTGCTTTATTTTAGTTTATACATTTTGGTTTCATTGCGTTTGTTCTAGACAAGAATCAGAGGCCTAAAGGGTTAAAGACTTCCTGTGAATCTACATTAATGTGTTATTTTGGCAACTATTCGAAAAATGAAGAGCAGTTCGCATGCGTATTAAACCAGTTAGATCACACACACACACACACACACACACACACACTGGTTTGGGTTTGTTCATGTGCTTTAGAGGAACAACCGAGATATTTGGTCTCATAAACACGATCGCTAACCGTTATTTGGCAAGTTCAGCTTCAACATTACAAAGAAAGAAGCAGATCTTATTTTCTGGTTTCAACATATGAAAATATATTCGATAGGCTATCTGCTAGGCGTTATTAGTTATCATTTCTAGAATAGAATCTGTCTTTGAGGTACTGAGTGACGTCAGTGTCTGAGAGCTTTGGTTATTGGTCAGTTTCTGGTCAATCACCATCAGTTATGAAATACATTTCAAAAAGTCATGCTTTGGTATATTAGAATTATGACATTAAAACGCATAATTATGACATATTAAGTCAATCATTATGAGATATAAAAAGTCAAAACTATGACAAAGTTAAAGTCATAATTATGAGACAAAAATTGGAAATGATGACACTAAATCATAAGATAAGTCTAAATTATGGCATACTAATTCATAATTATAAGATAAAAGGTCGACATTATATCATATACCAATTCATAATTCAGAGAAAAAAAATCGAAACTATGACAAAGTCCTAATCATGCCATACTAATTCATAACTGAGATAAGAATATATAATGACTTAGTATGTCAATTTAATTGTATTAAAAATACTAAGTTATAATTAAGAGATAAAAATAAGTGACAGTAAGCCAATAATAATGTTAAAACTTTAGGGTTGCTTTTTAATCTCAATTTCATTTTTGAGATAAATCTCATATCTATGAGTTAGTACATAATATTTTTGCTTATCTCAGAATTTAGCCTTTTTATGTCACAGTTCTGATTTACCAAAGCACGAGTGTGTCGGGAGCGGGTCCGGTGACCCAGTGTCTGGAGAAGCAGGAGATCTTTGGACGTTCCTCGGCTCTCACACACACACACACACACGCACACACACACACGTCTGAGGAAGAGTCTCGTAACGCATCACGTCGCGGCAGAGGTCAAACTCTCACTGGCATCGGTTCGGACCCGAGGAGGACCCGTTTGAAGACGCCCGTGGTTGAGGTAGAAGGTTTTCCCAGGCTCTTTGGGTGGAGTGGGAGGGGCTTAGACAAGGGGGCGGAGTCTTCAGCTGCACACAGGCTAATTTGGCGAATAATCACTGAGCAATCACACGACACACACACTCATTACATCCACACACTAACTATTCATCTGCTCAGTCACACAGAACACACAGTTTAAACGGGGCTCTGATGGGGTTTCAGTCCGCAGACGCTGTGTGTGTGTCAGTCGTCAGCAGAGGCACTACACGGATGTTGTGTGTGACTGAGTTCAGTTGTGTAAGGCTTTGGTGAGAGAGACTCGAGGGGGGGGGGGGGGGGGGGTCATTCGGTGCCGGTGTCTGCCGGGCTGAGAGGTCGTGGTTCGATCATCACCTGACACTGAGGAGCCGCTGCCTGACCCTCGACCCCAGCCTGAGGAACAGAGTTTGTTACATATGAGATTCAATGACATGTGAGTGTGTTTGTGTGTTTTACTCTATTATACATCTATTGTGTGCGTGTGTGTGTGTTTACCTGTGGCGTGAGCTCGATGGCGTCAGTCGCGCGGATCGTGGCGTCTTTCGCGGCGCTTTGACCTCCTGACAGACTCCAGTTACCCGGAGAACCTTTCTGACAGAAGAAACTACACACACACACACACACACACACACACACACACACACACACACACAGTCAGAAAGAGACTTGCAAAAGTAATGAATACACTATTACACTCCTCCCCAAATGATGAGTGTTTCCTTTAATGATGAGTGATGCGTTACGTTACATTACTAGTTATGTGAGAAGAGATCTGATTCTATAACTGAAGTCACTTGTAATGAGTTCACACACACACACACACACACACACACACCTGTGCCGGTACCCGAACATGAGGAAGAGAGCGCAGAAGAGGATGCAGGCCATGCTGATGTGGATCCCGATCACCAGTCCTGTCATGGAGCTCTCGCTGTCCTGACCACAGTTACACACACTCTGTCCTGCTGACCACACACACACACACACACACTCCTTCAGCTGAACAGCACACATCATCTGCCGGCGACGGTTTTATAAAGACAGCAAAATCACAAACATTTCAGAAGCACAAGCTGCTTTACATTTTAAAACCAATTCTCTGTGAAATGTCTCGGTTTGGTCAAACACTCACACTAGAGGTGAAAGGTCAAGTCAAGCGCTTTGCATTGTGGGATACAGTAGTCAGTTTACACGTGTTCTGTTGTAGTTTTGGACTGTTAAAAACGTATACATATCGTTTCAAAAGCAGTATTTCTTATTCTAAAATGCTGTTTTATCGACTAGATCATGATTACTAATTTTTAATTCTAAAATGTATTTCTATAATGAACATGCAGAGAAGTGTTGATGAGCAGGACACTGATGGAACGCCACAGCTGACATAGTTATAAATTAATAAATATAGAAAGATATAAATGTAGACATAAATACATATGTGAAAGTAAATACATTAAATGAAATTAAAAAATACAGTCATACATAAATAAAAGTATAAATACTCATTTTTTTTTATTATTATGTCAGCTTTGGCATTCCATGGACCCTGACTGTGCACACACTGACGCTCTGCCTCCCTCTAGTGTGTGTGACGTCACACTGCAAGAGTCTCAGCTTACACATGCACATCCTCCAGTGTGTGTAATCAACTCTCAGTGATTCATCGCTTTCATTGTTTGCGGACGAATCGTTCAGTGTTGTTCATTTCAAACCCTGAATATGACGCATCACCTGCTGCATCTTTCACACTCTTCTCAGTCTCAGCCAATGAGACGAGTCGCTTGTTGCCGATGCTGTCACCATTCCCATTAAAGGCACAGAGCTGGATCTCATACACAGCTGCGGCTTCTGCAACACACACACACACGGATTGTGAGACACTGCTGCTCTTGTGCATGCGTGGGTATGAATGCTTGAGTGCGTGTGTGTGTGTGTGTATGCATGCACAAGTGTGTGTATGCATGGATGAGTGCATTTGCATGCTTGAGTGTGTGTATGCATGTGTAAGTGAGTGCATGATTTGGTGTGTATGGCATGTGCTTTGCATGCATGCGTGAGTGAGTGAGCGTGTGCATGTGTGTGTGTGTGTGTGTGTGTGCACTGACCCAGGTTAGAGATGGTGTGTGTGTTTATCTGTGCAGGAAAGCGCTCCTCGTGTCCAAACTCTTGTTGCGGCAGTATTCTATAAGAGAGTTTGTGTCCCTCCACTCGGCCTGCTTTAGCGGGCAGATCCCAGAACACCTGCATCGCTGTGCGGTTCAGAACCTTCGTGAAGAAACTCGGCATTGTGGGAACTGAGAGACAGAGTTCACAGAGTTAGCGCAGAACACGTATTACCACAGCAGGCTATAGCACAGCGGTTCACACACACACTCGGCGTTCAGTCATGTGTGTGTGTGTGAAGTCTTACCGGCCCCGTGTGTGGTGGCGACGACGCTGCTGGACTGCTGACTGGCTCCCAGTGGCGAATACGCTTTGACGTAGATGGAGAAGGTGGTGGACGCTTCCAGGTTGGTGAAGTCGTGCTGAAACGTGTCTTTGCTCACGGCTTCCTGAAGCTCGCTGCTGTCCGGCTCTGAACACACACACACACACACACACACACACACGTCAGTTTAGATCCTCCTCCAGCGTCTGATAAACGCAGCTCTCGTCGGCTTCTCGTCTCACCGCCCAGCTTGCGTATGTGCAGCACGTATCCGATGATGGCGTCCGTGGCGCGCGGCTCCGGCTGCTTCCAGCGGATCCGCAGGGAACTGGTGGACAGCGGTGTGGCCGTCAGCTCCTCAGGGGCTTCTGGGAACTGGGCGGACTGGGAGACGGAGAGGCGGGCGCTGGCCTGGTTGGTTCCGGCGCTGTTCTCCGCGATACACTGATAGATGGCCTCGTCTTCAGCCGTGACGCGCGTCACAGCCAGAGTACTGCAGGTCAAAGGGCACAAACATTACACCGATTCATACTTCAGTCAGCTCAGACTTTCTGCATTCAGATATTACAGTGTTTAAATTAATACATCTTTAGCGAACTGACCATTTCACAAGATGTAAACAACACTGGTCCAGAAGCACTTCCTGTTTCAGTTTGTAACCGTTTTCTTTATTTCACATGTAAAGAAAACATCTTAAAGATGTTTGTTGAACTTTTTGATTCAGTTTTAAATGTTCTGTTGGTTGTTAAAAAACTGAAACAGGAAGTGCTTCTGGACCAGTGTTGTTTACATCTTGTGAAATGAATTCAGATCCCTGTGCTTTGAAATGATGTGTATTACAAATAAATGTGAACTGAATTGAATCAAGACACTCATTTTCATTGACATCTTTATCCCTGTGAGACTCTAAACCCGCAGCGCTTCCGTCTCGATTTCACTCTTTTATCCAGTAAATTGTACAAATGTGTCAAATCTGCTCTGATTTTATCAAGGAATAACTTAGATATTGTTAGTAATATTTCAGCTTTACTTGATTATCATCATCATTTATTATAAAATCATGAGTATTAAATATGATCATCAGGCTTTTGAGGAAGGCTTATCTGTTCTTCCCTCAATCATCATCGCATTATGTGTTTTATAACTACAGATCATAAAACTAAGCTTTTAAATATCATCTTACTAAGACATATTATTGGCAGATATTGATATTAATATGCATTTTATGTCCGTATCTGCTGTATTGTTACAAAGATATCATTGATTTACATTAAAATCCTCATTAATATCAGCAACTGAGCTCAATATTCTCACTTTATCAGACTATATGAGTGATGAAAGTCTGATGTATCAAACACAACACATGAACAGATGTTTATATTCCGTCTAAAGGTTGGATAAAGTGTTTGATTTGAAGCGCGTGTGGTTTGTGGGAGTGTGTTCACCTGTTGTTGTTGGCGAGTTTGACGTTTTCTCCCGGCGAGAGAATCTTGCCGTTCTTCAGCCAGATGAGGTGCGGATCGGGAACACCTTGAGCCTGACAGGTGAAGACGACACTTGACCCTGCCGGCTTCGACACCGACTGAGGCCACTGCAGGAACTCTGGAGGAGCTGACCCCACACACACACACACACACACACACACACACACATCCACCAATCAGAGACAGCTGATGCACATCTCATATATTAACCTCATTTACCTCACACTCACTCACTCGCTCACTCACACTCTCACTCACACACACACACACACACACACTCACTCACTCGCTCACTCACTCACACTCTCACTCACTCACTCACTCACTCACACTCTCACTCACTCACTCACTCACTCACACACTCACTCACTCACTCACTCACACTCTCACTCACTCACTCACTCACTCACACTCTCACTCACTCACTCACTCACTCACTCACACTCTCACTCACTCACTCACTCACTCACTCACTCACACACTCACTCACTCACTCACTCACTCACACTCTCACTCACTCACTCACTCACTCACACTCTCACTCACTCACACTCTCACTCACTCACTCACTCACACTCTCACTCACTCACTCACTCACTCACACTCTCACTCACTCACTCACTCACTCACACTCTCACTCACTCACTCACTCACTCACTCACACTCTCACTCACTCACTCACTCACTCACTCACACTCTCACTCACTCACTCACTCACTCACTCACACTCTCACTCACTCACTCACTCACTCACTCACTCACACACTCACTCACTCACTCACTCACTCACACTCTCACTCACTCACTCACTCACTCACTCACTCACA